CCGCTGAGCAGGGAGCCCGATGTGGGGCTCCATCCCAGGACCCTGGGATCATGACCTGAGCCGAAGGCAGACGCTTAATGACTGAGCCACCCAGGTGCCGCTTAAGTCTCAGGTTCTTAATTGGCAGGTATGTGTCCTAAAATTAGCTTCATGGTATTTATAACTCTTTGAAATTACATGTGCACATGTACATTTTTCTAGGGAAAGGATCTATAACTTTAATCAAATTCTCAAAAAGTCATATGACTGACATAAGTTAGGAACTACTGTTATAAAGAACCTACAAATAACTGAATCATGAGAATGGGGTGCCTGGCCTACCAGATAATGTTACCTTCATTCATATCCTGGGGTCCCAAAGGGGCCCGGGGACCTCTGTTTACATTAGATACATCTATAATATATTTCATATGGTGAGAGTTTTTGTAAAAGATACTGGACAGGAGAATAAGCCATGAGACTGCCACTCTCATCGTGGAAAAACCACAGCGGAAACTATGTACCAGATGATTCTTCCAAAGATGTCTCTTCTCCAAGCACCAGGTCTAGCTTTTTCTTGACCAGTCTGAAGAAGTCTTAGGGCATCTTCTCTTTCCTGGACAACTTTATCTAATGCATCCATGGAATCTATTACCTGGTAAGAGAATAAGAAGATGTAATTTCAACAATCACAACAAATACCAAAAAAAAAGAGAGAGAACATATAAAGACAATGCTACAGAAAACCTTAATGAATATTTTTGTCAAAGAACCATTCTGGGGGCGCCTGGGTGGTTCAGTCGGTTAAGCGTCTGCCTTCGGCTCAGGTCATGATCCCAGGGTCCTGGGATGGAGCGCCCGCATCGGGCTCCCTGCTCATCAGGAAGCCTGCTTCTCCCTCTCCCTCTGCTGCTACCCCTGCTTGTACTGTCTCTCTCTCTGTCAAATAAATAGATGAAATCTTTAAAAAACAAAAAACCATTCTGTCAAATATTTCCTAAAAATCTTTTTGGCACAGGTATGTATACATGGGTGCTTACAATATCACTTTTTGTAATTTTTAAAAGTTTAGTTTCATTTATTTTTAAAAAGATTTATTTGAGAGAGAAAGAGAGAGAACCTTCGCGTGCATGCAAGTTGGAGGAGGGGCAGAGGGAGAGAATCTTCAAGCAGACTCCCGCTGAGTGTGAGCTTGACTCGGGGCTTGATCTCACAACCCATGAGATCATGACCTGAGCTGAAACCAAGAGCCAGATGCTCAAACGACTAAGCCACCCAGGTGCCCCAAAAGTTTAGTTTCATTTAAATGAAGATCTCCTTAGCTCAGATTTCCATATATATGTATTAGTTTTGCTTGGAGTGGGATACACTTGCAGAGACTCCTTATGAAGACCCCATTTGACTCCTGTTATTTCAAAACTCAATGAATTATTAAATGATAACAATTTGCTAAAACCCATGTTTTGGCCTCAACTAATCAGTGTGCCCTAACACACAGACACTGATATTTTGACCTAATTGGCAGCTGCTACTATTACAGAGAATGGAGTATCAGTCTACCCTGATCCTAATCTCTAAAGATCCATCAAGATGGAAGAAGATCCTATTAGGACCTCTATTCTTATCTCTTTCTTTTAACATTTCTATTGAGTTTTACAATGCATATAATAATATACTGGTAAGGCAATATATGTATTTTTATAAATAAATATTCATATTTGGGGACTATAATGACAGATGAGCTAAATTTTTTCATAGCTCTAAATACTGAGAGGCATTTTTAGCTGGTTGTATGTATTCTCTGTGAGCATCATAACAAATAGAAATATTGCACATACATATTTGTTTTTTAAAAGAGCTCTCAAAAATGGGGGGGGGAGGGACGACAGATTAGATTATAATCTTCCAGGGGTGCATGAGTGGCTCAGTCGGTTAAGTGTCTGACTCTTGATTTCAGCTCAGGTCATGAGATCAAGCCCTACACTGGGCTCCATGCTGGGTGTAGAGCCTACTTAAGATTCTCTCTTCCTCTCCCGCTGCCCACCCCCCCCACATGCACAGGCACGCACACTCTTAAAAAAAAAAAAAAAGTCTCCTAGTTGGCTGCGAGACCCAAAAGAGATATGAAAGCCACAAATTTAGATAGACTACCTCATAACCCATACACTCAGCTCACACTCAGTGCTTCTACTCTCCCTTCTTCCATCAAAGCCACAATGAGCAGCTGAATCCACATGTACTTCCTCTTAACTATATGAATTTCTACAAAATCTCTGAGAAATAAAAGATGGGTGAGAACAGTGAATCCTATTTTGAAGACAAACTCAGAAGAGTGAAGAAATCAGACTGGTCAGGGCCTAATACGAAGCTGTGTAGCTCCTAGGAACTTAGTAAGCCTGGCTGTGAACCGACTACCTTAGAGTTCTCCCATGCAAGCTTACTTCTGGAGCTCCTAACTGAAATCTAATGTTAGCTCACAAAGAAAGTAAATGGCTACCCAGTCCACAGAGTTAACATCCAATTACTCATGTTCGTGCCACCAGATAAGAAGGAAAATCAGAAGTATCAATTAGATACACCTTATTCAAAACAAGCCAACCTCAAAGAGCTTTCTTTCCTTTCTAGTTTAACTACTCCAGAGCTTAGTGTCCTTACACACTTCCAAATCTTCAGGTTTTATCTTAAATTGAGAATAGTTCTTTTTAAGTATTTTTCTTGATAAATTTTCCTTAGTAGTATGTCACAAAACATGGAGAAGACTCCATACATTTGAGGCTTAAAAAATTATTGCTTTCAGTTTATCTGGAGAAAATGTTATTTTTGGATTCCACTTATTCAGAAAATGTAATACATTAATAGGACCTATGGGGATGAAGTTCACTTCTGAAATATATTTTTTTTAAACAGGGATAGGGGATAGTCTACCTCTGAAGTTTAAAAATCTTAGAACAAGCAAAAGCTTCTTCCCCAAATAAACAATGTGCTATTTATAAATAGCCAATGCACTTTTATTAAGAATCTCTTGGCTCAGTCGGTTAAGCGTCTGCCTTTGGCTCAGGTCAAGATCCCAGGGTCCTGGGATCGAGTCCTGCGTCAGGCTCCCTGCTCAGTGGGGAGTCTGCTTCTCCCTCTGCCTACTCCCCACCCCTGGCTCATGCTCTCTCTCTCTGACAAATAAATAAATAAAATCTTAAAAAAAAAAATCTCTAAAACATAACTTTTCTTAATAGCAGAATTAGCAAATATACCTGAAAATAAAATCTCAATTCTTTACAAATGTTGTGTCGCAATGAGGACACCTACCACCCAGATCTTAGTTTCTAAAAAATCACTCTCCACTAAAAGGAATCAGGGTATTCCTCTGTAAAATGGCTGATTCCAAGGCTGGCGCAGGGAAAGTACAAAATGAATCCAGAACAATTTGTTGTGCCTTATGAAAGAATGATGAGAACACAGAGGCCAGTGTGAAGGGACCCACACTGGCCATTTAGGCTGGGATGATGGTATTAAAGAATTATAACTCACTGAATAAAACTGGAATCCAGGAGTCCACAGTGATAGGAAAGAAGGAAGAAACAGAAGGGAAAACCATTCCTTTAGAAAAAAGCTAACCAATAAACATAGAATGAATTGTGGGATAAGAAAATCATCATTTAGCAAACATCACAGTAATAACTGATCAACAGATGCTAAAACTAGTGAATAAAAGTTTGAGGAATTATAGGATATTTACATGATCTCAATACAAAGAAAAATGAGTAACTATATATACAGTGGAGAAACCTGGCAGATACCACACTAACAAAATCATTAATGTCAACACCAGTAACAGAAAAAAATCCCCATCCTGTGCCTAATATTATGCACTGTGAAGAACACAATATCACCCCCATGATATTTCTGCCAATCATCATGATTATAAGGAGAAACATTATACAAATCCAAATTGGCCTATGCTCTTCAAAAATGTCAATGTCCAGACACACACAGACTGAGTATCCAGATCAAAGGAGACTAAAGAGAACAACTGAAAACAAATGATCCAGGATTTTTTTTGCTATAAAGGATGTTGTTAGGATAACTGATGAAAGAGATCTGCAGATCAGATAACAGTACTGTATCAGTGTTGATTTCCTGATTTTGGAAATTGTACAATACTTATCCAAGGAAATATCCTTGTTTTTTGGGCAACATATACTTAATTATTCATGGAGAAAGGGACAGCATGTATATAACTTACTCAAACTTCTGAAGAAAAAAATGTGTTATTTAGAGAAAGAGGCAGAGAAGGATAAAGCAAATGTGGTAAAATATTCACTTGGGGAAACTGGGTGAAAAGTACCTCTGTACCATTCTCTTTTCTGTCAGTCTCATGTCAAAATAAAGTTTAAAAAAACAAGTATGCTATGGAATTCTAGTTAGGGTAAATAACTGAGATGTTACTCTCTACCTTCTTGGACTCTCTGCAGGAATATTAGGTCCTCCCCTCTTAGAGGCAGAGATGGCCACGAGTAGTGCGGGGAAAGGAAAGCGAAACACAGCTGAGGCCAGGCAAACAGCCGAGCTCTGTTCTCACTGACGGCTTACTCTGGCACAGACACATCAAGAAAGAGCGGACTCGCAATCCAGGCAAAAAACCCTGAGAAATCGAACTAAATAAACCAAAAAACTTCGACATGGAAGAACTAGCTTACACGTGTACAGCCACGAAAAAGAAAAGGCAGATCTACACATACTGATAGGGAAAGATATCCAGGATATACTAGGTAAGTGGAAGACGCCAATGTCAGAAGAGTTTATACAGTATAACCAAATTAGAGGAATTACTTTTGTAAATAAAAATAATTAGGCACACTTCTACATGCAGAGAAAAATTCTGATGGATAAATAGGAAATACGTATGACTGATTACCTCTAGGAGTGGAAATAATGAACCCAAGGCATTTTTTTTTTAAAGTAGGCTCCATGCCCAGCAGGAAGCCCAATGTGGGGCTTGAACTCATAACTCTGAGATCAAGACCTGAGCTGAGATCAAGAGTCGGTCCTAAGCCACCCAGGTGCCCTGGGATTTTTTTTTTTTTAATGATGAAGAAAACCTAATTTGAGCAATAGTTGACCTTTTCACAACAATGTGAATATTCTTTTTTTTTTTTTTT